ACGCAACGACTCGTCCGTCCTGCATAAGGACACATCCCAAGCCCTGCCTCGAAGCACTGCTATAGATGGTGAAACTCCGAGAAGGATCTGGGATAGTCAACACCGGTGCTGTCGTCAGTCTCCTCTTGAGCTCCTGAAAGCTCGCCTCACATCTGTCAGTCAATTCGAACTTCACAGTCTTCCTCGTCAGCTGGGAAAGGGGGAGGGCAATCTTAGAGAAGCCCTCGATAAACCTGCGATAGTAACCAGCTAATCCGAGAAAACTGCGAACCTCGGACGGATTCCTCGGTGTCGACCAATTCTGCACTGCTGAAACTTTAGAAGGATCCACCTCGATGCCTGCCTGGGTAATAACATGACCCAGAAAAGATACTCGTTGAAGCCAGAATTCGCACTTGGAGAATTTGGCGTATAACTTTTCTCGTCTGAGGGTTTCGAGAACCACCCTCAGATGCTCCTCATGCTCCTTCTGACTCTTCGAGTAGATCAGGATATCGTCAATAAAGACAATCACGAACTGATCGAGGTATGGATGAAAGATACGGTTCATGAGATCCATGAACACTGCTGGCGCATTGCTGAGACCGAAAGGCATGACTACAAACTCGTAATGGCCGTAACGAGTCCTGAAAGCGGTCTTAGCGATGTCTGACTCCTTAATCTTCAGCTGTTGGTAGCCTGACCGTAAATCGATCTTCGAAAATACACAGGCTCCCCTCAACTGGTCGAATAAGTCGTCGATCCTGGGAAGCGGGTACTTATTCTTGATCGTCAACCGGTTGAGATCCCGGTAGTCGATACACATTCGCATAGATCCGTCCTTCTTCTTAACAAAGAGAACGGGTGCTCCCCATGGTGACACACTCGGTCGGATAAAACCGAGTCGTAAAAGCTCCTGGATCTGAGTCTTAAGCTCCTGTAACTCTTTAGGCGCCATGCGATATGGGGCTTTAGACATTGGACCGGCCCCTGGAATAAGATCAATGGAAAACTCCACCTGACGATTGGGCGGTCCTCCTGGTAGCTCGTCTGGGAAGACGTCAACAAACTCGCGAACAATAGGAACATCATGAGGTGTCCGCGCTCTCTGAGAATCCTCAACAAGGCTTACCAGGTAACCCTGGCAGTTGCCTCGTCGCAGTAGCTTAGTGGCTTTCGCCATCGATATAACAAGAGGCAATGAACGGTTCTTGGAGCCGAAGAAAGTAATCGACTCGTCTCCCGGAAGATAGAGGGTAATCTCCCGGTCATGGCACCTGATATCAGCATGATAGAAAGAAAGCCAATCCATCCCGAGAATAAGATCGAAATCCTTCATCTCGAGAACGAACGCGTCGGCAGTCAATACTCGACCACCGATGGAAAGGCTAAGGTCTGTGGCTTTGGCTGAGGTCACTATCTTTCGTCCCGAGGCTAAACTAACCTTGAGAGGATCGACAGCGGTAACTGCATGAACTCCGATGGCGTCGAGACACCGTCGGGAGATGAAGGTGTGCGTTGCTCCGGTATCGAATAATGCAAACACAGGAACATCATTAAGAACGATCATCCCGGACATTGTACCTGGTTGCTGTGCTGCCTCCGCCTGATCGACCGCGTAGACCCTCCTGCTGCCTGCCTCTCTGCTGCTGCTGCTGCTGCGGTCTCTGTGCCTGCTGTCGT